GTTATAGTTTCCGAATCCGCCGTTGACCGCTTATCCCCCCTTTGCTTTGACAAGACATGACAAGACTAGAGCTTCCACCAAGCAGGAAGTAACAGTAACACCAGATCAGGTGGAGAACTGGTCCGGTAGTGTCCAACCCTGGCTGGGCGACGAGGCTCAAGTGCCAGTGCTGGCAGTGAACAGCGGCGGGCCACTGGAAAGTGTCGTGGATGCGGTGACCTGGCAAAGTGGAGAATAGGGTGGAGGCTGGTGAAGAGGGTCGATCTTTGATCGAGGGGGGAAGAGGATGTAGCTTGGAACGAAGTAACTGTATCATATTGCTATGATGAAGCAGGCTAAGAGATGGGACCTTGCAACAACTCAATCAGTTTTGGCGTGAGGATTTCAGGATGATATATGGGCTTCCTGGAATGTGGCTTGATTGCCCAAACCAGCCTCAACCCTGAAGGGATCGGGATGTCGGTTAGCGGCCATTGCGTGCAACTCCCTCAGCTCCCACACAACACAGCCTTCCAAGCACCCTTGGCTTCCCAGCCCGCCAAGGGCACCACCCTAGAGGCCCTAGCGGCCGGGTTTCACCTCGCCCCGCAAGCCCTCTTGAAGGTGCTTCCTTGCAACTTGCTGAGGAAACGGGCTTTCTACGACCTCCAGAGCCTGAGGTGGGGCCGACTTTGCTGGGTCAGACTTGTCCAAGATGTTGGTGCCACGGATGCTCCAGCTCTGAAAGGGCTCGGGAAATCCTCCAGGATGACCACCAGTAAAAGCGACCACTGACGTTCTGATGTTGCACCCATTATATGGGGGTCTCTCAACAGTTCGTTTTGTTGTGGAACCCGTGGTTAGAACATGTCAGAAAAGTCTTGAACTATCTTGAACTATTATTCTTCAATCCTGAGGAGCACGGTCGGCCTATCAGCACCTCACCTCACTAGCCGCCAAGCTCTCCCTCCCACATCGGCCATTTCCACTGAACAACCACCGATAGTGGTTCAGACTCGGCAAAGACCTATGAGATGAGCTATCCAGCTATCCAAGACCCGGCCAGGCCTGGGCTGACGCAGTGAAATCGCTGCTTGAGGATCCCCAGATGCGGAAGCGCTTTGGTGAGGCTGGTGGGGAAGCGCATGGATCCAGCGGCTTGCAAATTGGATCAATTTCGGGTGTGTGGCATGGAAGATGGCCGATGCATGTCCAAGTTTCAGACTTTCTAACTACAGAAGGCTCATGGTATACAAACTGCACATGGCCTCTGGACAGATTGGCAGTTGGCAGTTTGCCCAAACTGAGTCGGGAAGTTCAATCGCCGGACCGAACCTGAAAAACTGGGCACCGCAAGGCAACATTAGAGGGTTTGAGGTTCCCCAGAACTTTCTGGCTACGATGCCAGCGGGCAGTTGTCCCAGAAGGCCCTGCCAAGCACTGGGGAAGAAACAAGCAATACATACATAGAATTCAATATACATATATATATATACACACATATATATATGTAATTATCAGTGCTTTTTGGATCTTTTTGGATGCATCGTCCCAGTGTTGAACTTCTTCCGCAGAAGTATGATGGGTTCTCATTCATTGCCAAACATCCAGTTCCAAGAGAGTGCACAACGAATCTTCTAATCATTCTGTAGACAGGTCTATATAATAGACAGGTCTATATAACAAGATAAGGAGTTCGAAGGATCTCAGGACGTTATTAGAAGACAAAATAGTAAGAATTGGCTCTCCTGTATCACTTCTCCGTCATCTCCTTTGTCGTTTCAGACTTCCACCGAAGCGAATTACGCTCCTCAGGCTGGCCGGGAGCGTGCGCGCAGCCGCTTCTCCCTCGAGGCGGTTTCTCCGCCCTCGGCCCCGCAAAGCTGGTACAATACATAGGACCCCGCACTCCTTACATCTCCTTACACGTTTCACCAGCCAGGTGGCCACCCCAACAATTAATGTTTTCTTTATTTATTTTGTCCTTCTGGCTTTGGTGACTCCAAATGAAGCGTGAAAAGTTCCCCCCTTTTTATAGGCATGGATCTCATTTCGAGACCCTTCTATGAAAAGAGGTGGGCCAACTTGCCCTTGCCCCAGTCCAGAACAACATTTGGGACGGAACCGTTTTTTATTCATTTTCTTTTTTCAGTCTTTTTTATCTATATCTTTTATATAACCCGAGTGTTTCTTTTTCTTTTTTATGCTTGTGCTTTTGCTTCTGCTTTTGCTCGTGCTTCTGCTTTTGCTTCTGCTTCTGCTTTTGCTTCCGCTTTTGCTTCTGCTCTTGCCTTTGCTCCTGCTTCTGCTTCGGCTTCTGCTTTTACATTTGCTCTTGCTTTTGCTTTCGCTTTTGCTTCTGCATTTGCTTTTGCTTCTGCCTTTGCTTTCGCTTCTGCAATTGCAAATAGGCAGCTTGAAACGCTGCAACTGTTGCTGCAAGTGGCTTTGTTTACTGCGCTGCTTGCAGTAAAGAGCCTGTGCTGCTGCAAGTGGCCAGCTTCCAAAGCTGTGCTGTTTGCAGTGGCCAGGGTCTGACGAGCGTGTGTTGCTGCAAGCGGCCAGCTTTCAATGCTACGCTGCTTGCAGTAAAGACCGCTGCAAGTGGCCCCATTCCAACGTAGCACACCTTCTAAGAGCGGCCCAAGAGTCAAATTAAAAGCAAGAAGGTAAGTAGGTGCCAATGTAGCAGATCTTTCTGTTGTGAACCACCCGAACGTAAAATTTAGAGGAGGAAGATGCCATGCCAACACAGCAGAGCCAGCGGGGGGGAAAATTTAGAGGAGGAAGGCGTGTTCCAACGTAGCAGACCTTTTGTGAGCTACCCAAGAGCAAACATCAGAGTAGGACACATTTATTTGTGCTACCTGGTTTGGAGGGTCACGGCTTAGGAGGCTTCAAACCTAACACGCACTGTAAGCACCTCCGATGTCTGGAAAAGATGGCGAACCAACACTTCGACGACAAGCATGAGATATTTGTCTTCCCAAGTAATTATCAGCTAGGAAAAGAAGTGAAGTGTGAGTGTGATCAGTTGCTGTGATTCAAATTTCTATTGCATAATTGTCATAATTGTACACTCGAAGCCGGAAGGCACCCAAAAGCACCCCAAAGACAAGAAACCAAGCCCAAAGAAAACTGAAACAAGTGAAGCCCGAAGACAACCGCAAAGAAGTCCTTATTCCTCACTCCTACTTCTCTTTCGTTTGGTGGGGTGCATTTTTCTGCCCCCTCCCCTCCCTTTCTTTGTCACTGTCTCGCTCTCTACCTCCCGCTCTGCTGCTTCTTCTCCTGACCCTTGTGCTCTTCCTCAAAGCACTCCCAGAAAAGAAACGCGAAACAAAGATCCTAGAAAACGCTCGAAACAATTTCCGGAAAAGTCTTCACCCATTTGGGACCCTGATGCTGCAACATCGGCTGGGCCTCGGGGCGTTCGGCTTTCGCTGCACTGGAGGCCTTCGGACAGACTCTGGACTTCGCAGTCCGGCGGCTGGACGATGGATCTGCCACAAAATCTGAGTGAGGGAAAAAGCTGGCATCGCGATCCACAGGCGAAGCCGTTGATCATTCTGGTGGCAACGCCCCCAATATGGCTATGGATCTACGATCCAGGGTTGCAGGTTTTAGTAACTTTCCGGGATGCTGCACCCACAGCCGCCAAATCAGATTGGTATCACCATGGGCCATTGGCCTCATCATCAGCGCTCTGCGGTCTCCGGTGGTGGTCACGCGAGTAAACCCACCAGTGGACGCTGCTTGAGTGCTTGTGGGAAGAAAGGCCCCAAGAAGAGACATGATTTGGTGGAAACGGGCCCTTTATATATGTATCTCTCTCTCTCTCTCTGTCTGTGACATTATTAATTATATGACCTTTGTGGTGGTTCAGGCCTTTTGCCACATCCGTGCAGCATTTGCCGGCTTCTGAGGGGATGTGTGCATCTATGACCCGTGAGATGGTGAACGCGAAAAGCGATTGATTCATCGCACGCCAAGTGGGGAATCGTGGGGGCACCAAGCAGTGCAGATTTGATCAAGAAGTGCGAAAAGTAACACCTTCCCTGTCCAGGGCAAGGACCTGGGCACATTTGAGTACTTGCGTTTCTTTTGGGAGATAGTGTTTTTCTATTTGTCTTCCTTGTCTTTCCTATGGGCACGGAAGCAAGTGTGCCTGCAAGAGCTGAGGGGACTTTCGAGCAGGCAGGGCAAGTCCATCAAACGTGCCCGGTGAGTTCGATCGGGTTGGGACGCAACAAATGGGAGAAACCCCAGTTTTCTTCGTTTTTGGATGCCCATGTTTGGCTGGCCGTCCCCACCCCTGAGAGCGGAAAAACTTACTGTATATAACTGAGCATGGCCACTGGCCACCCCTTCTGATATAACTATATAAGATCCTCAAACTGAACATCGTCCACTAGTCCGGAGGTCCAGCTTCTTATTAGGTGAGGTGAGAGTATGAGCAGGGCATCGAGGTTGCCATTTACTCTCTGAGGAACCTGTAGGGCCCTGCAAGCTACCTAGCAAAGTCCTGAAATACTGAGGCTCATGGATTGAGAAGTCTTTCTGGGTGGGAAGAGAAGCTATTTCAATCAAGCACCCAATTCGGCCGTTCAAGAGTTGTTCCGGTTTGTGGCTTAGCGGTTCGTAGTCTCCAAGTGTGATGGAGAGGTGGTCCAAATTCCTTTGGGTTCTGGGGCACGGACCGTTGGCTTTTCTAGGGTGACACGCCGGTTATTGGATGAGTCTGTGGGCCATTGGCCGTCCATGTGCCGAAACCTGTCCGCAGCTGGGGCGCAAGCAAAGGCACGCCCACATTGTAAGCCGGGACATCGGTGACATGGAGAGTTGGACGTTTTCGATCCCAAGAGGTTGACATCTGGAGACGGGACATCGGTGTTCTTTGATATGGAAATCCAGCACGGCAGACCGGCAGACTCACATTCAAGATTGAAACAGGATTCTGGAGCCTAACTTCAGATGCCAGCTAGCAGGTTTGGATATCGCATTTATCAATCCCACTTTGTCCGTTCTTTCTTGCGGTGTTTGAAAGAATTCATCTCGCCCATCACTGCGAACTTGCTGAGCGAGCCGCGCGGCAAAGCGAGCTAGTGCTTGATGCTGAGAAACTTTGCTGAGAATGATCAATTATATAGTTATAGGCTTGTCATAGAAGCCTCATAGAAGTGAGTTGGCTGCAGGACAATAATAAGGTCATAGCTACAAGTGAATCACAGAAAAGGCTAGGGTCGTGACCCAGTTGCATGAGACAGGAGCTGGTGATTTCGCCTGGTGAGCCCTGACTAGCCTCTAGATCAATCCAAAGGCTTGAGAAACTACATAACAGCCTTCGTGAGAGGTGAGTTTGGGGTAGCCGGGTAGACATGCATGTTTGGCCTTGGTACACGGTCGTTGCCAAAGCCCGCAAGACGACATGTAATGTACCACCCCAAGAAGACGTTTTATAATGTTTTATACTTTTTTTCCTGCAAGATCGGGGTCGATGTTAGTTTGCTTTGGAGAGGGGGGGGGTTGGTCTTGATCCAGCCCAACCCAGTTACCGTGTTGCCTTGCAGACTTCTCTGGCGCCAAGAGACCCAGAATTCCCTGCTGCTCACCTGAGGAGCTGTCCTGCCCTTACTATGCTTGCACCTGGTAGGTGCACGTTTGATGAAGGCAGGGCCGCAGGCCACAGAGGATAGCCTGCCAGGGGTCTACCGAGCCTAGTGCAAATCTAAACTTAACTTAAACTTCCATCCAGCTGGTCAGCGTGTTGAACTTATTGAGCGTCTTCATTCACCGCCGACTTGCTACCAAAAGATGCCCAAAGGTTGTAAAGCCAACATGCCTTTGGACATTTGGTTCTTGACGAGTGTTGTGGATGAATCTTTTGACTGTCCGAGTTGACACACTCACACACACAGATGTTGTGTATATATATATATATACACAGTGACACACACACACGCACACTCAGGATAAAAGTACGCATGACATGGATGCCATATGCCGCACGCCGACCTGGGTGAAAAAGCCTGAGTAACCAGGGTGTGCCACAGGTTGGACATGGGTGAATGGGTGGGTTGTACTTCAGAGGTGCCAACGTCTAGCTATCACAGCACCCTGATAATAGATGCAAGAGTTGAATCACACCCCTGCCAACTGCTCAACATGCAAAACTTCCACCTCTTCACTGTGCTTATGAATTAAAGCAGGCACGGTAGTTTGCGTCCAAACTTCCGGAGTTGTCCACACCCTTTCCATCCCTTTCCATAGGAAGACACCTGCCTCAAACCTGGAGGCCATCAGCTATGGCCCAGTTCCGCTGAAGGCGGCTGGCCGTATCCCACAAGATGACTGGATGGTGGAAGCGGCCAAGCCCATGTGGGGCCCCAGAGGCCGCGATGACGCACGGCGGGGTGAAGGATGGGGGTGAAGGCGGGGGCAGAACATCCTTTTGCGAATTTGTTGTTCCGGGGTGCAGAGGTTGAGAGCGGGATTGATTTGGGGACGCGCGAATTAGGTGCGTTCAGGGCCTTGTCATGAATGCAACTTCAATGTCGACTCAGGATTTGCATGTGATGAAACAGCTGGGTGCCAACACAGTGCGCCTCTACGGGAACAACCCCAACCAGAGCCATGAAGGCTTTTTGGACGAGGCTCATCGGCAAGAACTCAAGGTGGTGGCTGGCATGAGCAGCTCGGCGCTAAAAGGACGGCATACCGAAAGAGACAACCCGGCAGCCTCGCATGGATCCTGAACGCTTGAACACAACTAGCTCGGCAGAGGAAAGCAATCTTTCTGGATTTCAGATGCAGGGTCCATGTTTAGCTCCGGCAGGGTTTGAACCAGCATCACACATGTGCTGAAGTCAGTACATGAGAATTGATAGATGTGGGATGCATTGATTTTTCGCGAGAGCTATTGGGGTTCTTACTGTTTTACTTCTAGTATAGGAAGGGGTGCCTCACATATTTCGTGCTATCTGGGGTCTATGCTGGCGAACTTTGTTGCTGATATGTTGGGTTTGCTGAAGCTACAGTTGGCCGAAACGGTCCAAAGTCGACGGACCTGCCTTCAAGCATGTTGCCAATCTATTGCCCCTGCATAGCGGCATAGCTCTCGCGTTGTCCCCACCATGCCCTATTACATAAGTGCACACAATGCACAGTGTCTCCAGCCATCGCAGCTGACACCCGCATGCGGATTCAAACCAATGCATTGTCGTCCAGGACAGGTGGGCTAAAGCATTCATGTTGCTTTCCATACATCCAGATCAATGCCCTAAGGTGATTTTCGATATATTCAGATGGATCCAGGCCGGAAAGGGACGGGGGAAGGCCAGCGGTCACTTGGAGCTGTGTGGGAGCCAAACTGCAAAAAGCAATTCTCCGCGGACTGGTTGTACCTTCGAAGGTGGGGCACATACTTTGAGTCAAAGACAGCTGGCAACTGATGTGATGAAGGCTTTTGGACACCCCAGCCGGAGTTCAACTAAACAGAAACGAAGACCAACAGCGACCAGTGAAGGTGTACAACTTTCCTTTAGATGGGGGTCCATATAAACCACCTCTTGGGGTCTGTGCCATTTACTCTCAATCCACTATAACTTGAAGTTCATCCCAAGCTTCGCTCAGAAGGCCCAGTTGGCAGAGTGTGCCATTTGTATCCATTTGTGACAGGCAGGTGCATTGAAACAGACTATGACTGCTTCAATCAGAGCCGAGATTCTTATGCCCTGAACCTGAAGACAGGATTTCTGACAGTGTCTTGGGTTGACATAATCTCTTGCCGCTCAACAGTTGGCTGGGCTTCGCCAAAGACGTGGTGCGACATGTCAACTGGTCTTTTCTGTAACTTCGACTCTCACTGATCCAGCCAAAGACCTCTTGCAACTTTGTCCCAGAGGAAATCAATGCCACTAGCATATGGGCAGGGTTGGGGTGTTTAGTTTCCTGGGGTGTTTAGTTTGTAGGATTTGAGACTCGTGTGGGGCGGGTCAGCGGGTGTATTCTTCAGAATCCAAGGAGTATCAGGAGTATCATCCAGCGCTCGCCTACTTCATCCTCATCAACGAGCCAGATCTGAAGATGCCCTCAACTTCCACCACTGTGGCAGGCCGGGCGCGGGCAGCGTCGAACTTGGTGTTGCGTAGCAGGATTTCAGGAGGCTGCACCATGTTGCGATCTCGTGTGGGCCCAACTTCACCGCCAAAATCACAGACGCTCACACACACACACAGCCGACGACGCAAAAAGGGAAACTGCACCTGCAAACTCTAACTTCTCTCCGGATTTTGGGCACAGGCCTGACCAGCGCTCCGAGCTTTGGCTTGCATGGCTCTAGTTTTAATTTAGTCACTCTGTCGTCCTCATGGCTCTGTCTCCAGAGTCGTCTCTGTGGGCCAGGTGGGCCGGAGCAGATGGCTCGGGCAGTGGTGAGCGCCTTCGATGGCCTGTTGGAGGCCGAGAAGATGGCCAACATCACAGGCGACTCGGCGGACGGCGATCAACGAGGGCGATGAGTCAAGAATCGGTTTGGGGCCTCTCTTTTTGTCCAACGGGGGAATGTTAGCCATACAGCCAGGAGCGATCCTTATGACTCTATGTGGGGATATCTTCCCCGTCCCGCACAGATTGCTTCCAGCACGGCATTGCCAGAATATATCCAAGCACACAATTTCTAGCCAATCTTGGCAGATCATCACGGCTTGGAGCGCGCCGTCAAAACCCGGGAGCGGCCCCCAGACACGGCATACACGGCCTTATCCGCCATCTGAGGAGACTTGATCAATATTACAGCGACATTCTCCTATGCGGTCTGCATTGTGTGTGAAGAGCTGAGCTACCTCCCCGCACTGGGGCAGATGGCCACCTTGGTCGATGCCATGATGAATCCGGAGTCCTATGGTCACCTGGCCCTTGCAATCGCCATGCAGCGTGCTTGGGGTGTGACGGTCAAACAGTTAAACCACACGCTGGCAGGGTGGCACGCTGGCATGAGAGCTTCCCCAACTTTGTGAGCTCGGGTGAAGGGCCACAGTGGACACCGCCATGTCGAACTCCCGTTGCGACTCCCCCCACCGACTCCCCCAACAAGAGAACCGTCCACCGAGGCTACGAGCCACGGAACAATGTCACGGAGGCGTTTTGGAGCCGATGGACCCACAGTTTCAATACCAACAACCCCGCGCGGGACCTCAAGGCACGAAACATGGGGTCCTGTGAGGGGCGGTGGGTGCCGTTGACGGCGGGGTTTGGGGAACCCTGTCGTGCGAGGTCTTGGACACCTCGGTAGCTGGGGTGTGGTTTGCTTGGGTCCGAGGCCTTGTGACGCGGGGGGCCGCGGAAAACGGTGCTTCTGTGTTTGTGGGTGCCAGGCTCAATTCTTCGACCGATACCCCGAGCACTTTCCCAGCACGCCGGTCTTCGTGGCGGAGTATCACAGTGTGATCTTGCAGTATTTGACTCCTGTGGTGACACTCCAAGAGGATCTAGCTGAAGTCATTGACATGGCCAATACTTCAGACTCTCGCATGCAGGGCCGGGGGGGAACCTCAAAGAAAGAGAGCAGCACTCGGCAGCTCTTATTCCTCGGGTCGTTCCGATTCCATTGTTCAGTCAAGTTGCTTGTTCCACTCCAGATAGCCACAAGGCATTGGCATGTTTGTGTTCTCCTTCCGAAGGACTCCTTCTCGCTAGTAACCGGAGTGGCCGAGTGAGTGCTACAGTTTCTTTGCATTGTAAGAAGATGTAGATGTAAGAAGCGGGATGCAGGCGCTGTCTTTTTGTTCCATGATTTCCATGTTTTGATGGCTGGACAAGGGGGGCAAACATTTGTTCCCGGGTGCCGAAGCGTTCACGAAGGCGACATGGGGTGTTTCTGAGCGAAGGCTAGCGGCTAGCGGCTAGCGTCGCTGTGGTGGTTGGAACACCGGTGCGTGCAGAAAGTAGACCCACCTGCAGAATCTTCAAAGTCATCTTGCAGTGCTTTCGCTGCGCTGCGGACAGCCCTTTTGCCCCTCCTGACTCCAGACAGCCCCTTCGGCAGCTCCGCTCCGTCAGCTTTGCCTGAGGATCTTTTCCTGGGCATCTCCTTCTTCCAATACCAGGTCGCCTACTGGAAGGGCGGCACCGAGATGGACTTTGGCATCTTTGGCCTGGGGTTCCTGAGCCAAAAGAGGGTACCGGAACCTCGTGTGGCCAGCCCGGTGTAATGCATTTGGCATGTGTTTTTTTACGTCGGTGGCTTCAGGTAGATATGTGAAGTAGAAAGGTCCCCGTGCCGCTTGCTCATGGTCTGATTTATTGGACATATTTTTGATCAATAGCAACCGTTTAATGCAACCGGACCATCCTCAATTAGATAGGACGTTGAGCTTCATCACCAGCAGGTTCTACAGTCCATCCAGGATGATGGCTGGTACTGTCACAGGCTTCTGAATGTGTAGTGATGTGTACATATATATAATATATATGCACCGTATATAGTATAGAATCACACATATATTAATGATATGTATATACACACGTACATACACGGAGAGTATACACAAATATATTTATATTATCATCATTACTCATCTATAGCCCCTAATCTCGTAAGGGATCCTTCATCGGAGCCATCATGAGCCACACAAACCTTGAGCGTTTTCACCTCCACTGATCCGAGACGCGCTGCGAAAAGGAATTTCCTCATTGCGGAGATGCCCTACTATGGCCACACCTATGACATCTGGTGCTTGGAGCCACAAGTGTCGCACAATACCCCCGGATCCACTATGCCACAGGTGCCTGGACCTGCATTGCCCAAGAGGTGAGGCCACAGGTGCCCTTAGCTCCCGAAGGCGATGCCCAGTCAGGCGACTCCTAACCCAATGGCTGGCCGGCTCAACATCAACCCGTTTCGCTGGCGAGACTCCAGATGGCTAAGGTGCTCACCGAAGCCTATGACGGACCCGGCTTGGAGTACGAGTACTTGTGTCAGCCCAGTCCCAACGTGGCAGCTTGGCTGTACTTCACTAATGAGGACAACCAATGGGTTTCATCATGTGGCATTTGTCTACTCGGTGGCCTTTGTCTTGGTGCAGCAAAATCCACATATTCATGTTGACAATAGTGGCACATCGGAACAACTGTCGGCATTCACGATCATTGGGATGGATAGTTTCTTTGGGCTCTGTAACGCACCTTGGCACATTGTAGTTAAATCTCGTTTGTTCCCAATCAGTGGGTACTCGATAGCAAAAAGGCCCTCCTCATGGAGTCATGTCCTCTTCAACTCGCGGACTAAAAGAAACCTTCGAAAAGGGTGAGCCACTCCTCACGACCAAACATCCACTTGCTCTTTCCTCTCGCTCCTCGCCCGCCTGGGCCGACCGACTTCTCCGTTCGACACCACACCCGAGGTGCCCCTCTCGCAGGACGGCTTTGCGGCGATCGCCGCGCAGGGCGCCGGGCGCCTGGGCGTCTTCGCGCGGCGCGTTGTGGAGCACCTGGGTGGCATGGTGGTGAGCACCACGGAGCTGGAGGCCTTTGCGGCCCAGTACGTGACTGAGCCTTGGGAGAATGGCTTGGACCTGGTGGTGGGGCAACCTGGGTTTCAGCCATGTACAATTTCAATACAGGTTCTCAATGTATATGGGATTGTATTTGGATCTTCAGCTAATTCCATTCAAATCATTACATCATTGCAGCAAACAAGAACTCACATCTTTTGTTTGTGGACTTTGTGGAATAACGACGGGTGGCGGCAGCGCTAGAATTGCTAGACGCATGCTGGCCAAGCGTTCCTCTCGCACAATGAGGGACAAGGGCCGATGGATCTGAAAACTAGGAAGCTTTCCTCCCTTGGTGCACGCTCTCTCTCTCTCTCTCTCCCTCTCTCTCCCTCCCCCCCTCTCCCCCTCTCCCCCCCCCTTCCGCCCCCCCTTCCCTCTCTCTATATGTAGTGGAGAAACATGAGAAAGATGGTCATTCCTTTGTTGACCGCCGGAAAGAGCACGGACGCTTTGTGAAAGAGCACTGGGGTGGGAAGATGTGTGGCCCTTGAACTAGGGGTGTTCTACAGTTCATCCAGTTTCATCCAGTTTCTCTATTGGACATAGCAACGAACGCCGGTCCTCGACACGCTCAAGCACATGTGGGTACAGGGTTTGGCCCAGAGTGGCCTTTTGCTCCGGGAGGCCCTTTTGTCTGGTCTTTGGGGACTCCAGTGCCCCGTCCATTGCCATCAGCCTTCGCTCTTGGCTCCTGCTTTCTTCCTCGTCCTTGGACTTGTATTTGGATTTTCCCTCTCTTCCATTTTTTTGGATTTGGCTCCTTACTCCTTTGGCACCATCTGCACCTGTAGGCACTCCAGCCCAGCAGGTACTTCGTTCGGTGGCTGGCCAGGCCAGGAGAAGGCTCGAGGGATATCGTCAGAGGTTGCATGAGCCATAAGGCTGATCTAGGGGACCTTGTACAAGCCCTAGATCGATTGACTTTGGCCGTTCAAGAGGGCTCCCGAGCGACTACTACCAGGTCGTTTGGTTCTTGGGAGGTGGTTGAGCCGGTTGAGGAGGAGGACCCGACCACAGCTTCGAAGGGTGCAGAGCCCGCTCAGGCTCCTGATCCCTACAAGGGCATCGCTTTCAACGACTACGACGCTCTCATTCAGCAACTTGTTCCTTGCCCTTTCCAGTTGGTGGATTCTTGCAAGGCCTTGCACGGGGGCCAATACGGTAAGCAGTACCGAGCTGAGCGAGCTTGGGAAGCGGGCATTTGGGCTCGCCACACCATCGAAAAGAGGGTCTCTAAGCCAAGAGCATCCTTCGCTATTGACTTGGCCTCCACCGTCTACGTGGTCCTCCAAGCTCCAGGATTATCCGAGCCTACGCGGCTCAACAAGTACTCAGATTTGCACCGTCTCGTGGGTCGCCTTGCAGATTCACCAGAGACTGTGTGCCACGGCTTTCCCTCTCAGGCAGAAGCGAGGATCTATTGCGAGGCTGCAGGCTTCGAGTACCCTCCTCTGCACAAATGGAACTGATCGCAGATCATGTGGCCGACGAAGGGGGCACCACGCCCCTGCTATTTCGTTGGGATCATGGGGGAGGAGAAGGAGTGGAACCTGGCCAGGTTCTGTGCTTCTGTCATGTAGTGATGAGAAGGCCAGGGGGTCTTCTTCTGGCATTGCCTGCAGCTGCTGTGGAGGAGGAAGTTTTGATGGCCAGTATGGCTCAAGGAGGAGGCGAAGATTCTCTGATTGGGCCCTACACAGTCCTTTACACGCCTGCAGTCGCAGTCAATGCGTTGGGATCCTTCGAGGACTTCGAGGAGACCCTGACAGTCCTAGTGGTCGATATGAGCCATCCCGAGGTCGCTTCTTTTCTCAGCGCCCTTCCTGGTGGAGATGGACTGGACCAGAACGTTGTTCCGTTCTACGAGTGGGATTTTTGGGTCAGACCTGCGCTGCCTCGTTTGCTGGAGCAGGTAAAGGCTTGGCTAGCCATCGACCAGTCCGAGAGAGTAGCCTTCTATTCGGCAGCAGAGGAGGTGGCACCAGAAGATCCAGTGGCCGCCAAGGCCACGCCTCCCGGTGGCACTACTACCAGCGCCGCCGTCAAGCCAAAGCCCAAGAAGCCGACTGTGGCCACTCTCGCAGCACAGATGGAGACTTTTGCAAATGCCCTACCAGCCCTGATGGACCAGGTCACTCAGCTTGCAGCCAGACAGCAAAGCCTGGAGGAGGTAAGTCAGAGGCCCACTATGATTCAGGCTACATCGAGCACTCCCAAGCTGGTTTCCAAGGCGAGCATGCCGGTATCGGCCCTCATTGGAAGTCCCACTGCTCCGTTGACAGAGTTGGCAAAGCAGATGGGGCCCCCGCCCAAGACCAAGGCAGTCCAGGTCCCAAAGCCCCCTCCTACCAGGGCTTACCGTTCCCTTCCCGAGGACGAACCCCTCCAGCTGGATGGCGAGCCCCTTTCTCCGCAGGCCACTCCGTTTGCAGAGGCCATCCTAGAGCAGAGCAAAGCCCTAGCGGCACTGGTGGCCCATTTTCAGGTGGGGGCCACGGACCCGATGCAGGAGCTGGCAAGTACCACTGCCACCATTGGTGTCAAGGGGGCGGTGGGTCGGGAGAGGCTGCAGCGAGAACTTTCTACAGGTTCAGGGCAGTTCTTCATGCGGGTGTCCCAGAACATGAGCCGGCGTATGTCGCCTACTGCGCCTTTGCCTCAGGCATCGGAGGACTTAGCAAATGTCTCCATGCTGTCCTACCTCGAGAAGTTCGGGGGTTTTGGCCAGAATCGGAATCTTGGCCTTATCATGTGGTCGTTGGCCCATGTCTACGACTGCGCGGCAAAGGAGCAATGGGGTGCGGTCAAGGACCACCTGGCCATGACGGTGGTTATGATCGACCAGGCAAATCAAGACGGAGGGGACTCATGGCACCTTCCCTGGCTCCTTCGGCTTTTGGACGATCCGCCAGCCAATCTCTGGATGAACCGCAATACCACAGCCACGGGGGCCAGGAGGCCCTTTGCTCCGTTGGTAGCGCAGAGTTGGGCGACAGTGGCATTAGCATTCCTGAAAGAGACAGAGGTCTTGAACAACAAGAAGCAGGAAGTGGCAACCCACCCAAAGGCCAGCGCAGCTGCTCCGGCCGCCGATCCAAAAGCCAAGCCCAGGCCCAAGAGGAAACCCTGGGCGCAGAAGGCCAATCCGGAACAACAAGCAGCAGGGACCGACACCTAAGCCTTGCACACACCCACACTGCACGGCAACCAGAGGCGGGGGGAGGCTCGGCTAGTCCCCCTCCGCCGGGCCACAAGGCCCACCATACAGCGGCACCGCACAGACAGGTGCCTCACGAGCACTACGATAGACGTTTCAATGAATTCACACCATCCCGAGACGACGGAGCTGAAGATCCTGACAAGATCTCATTCTCCTTTGTCACTTGGTGCATGTCACTCACAAGATGGGTACTCTCAGCCAAGACGGCATTCTCCAGGTACCTGTCTACAACTCTCCAGGTTTGCCGAGACGGCCCAGAGTCGTCTCCTACCGCTCTGTTTCCTTTGCCTTTGCCGAGCTTCGCTCCCTTTAGGGCTGAGGACCCTGGTGAGACTATGTGGAGGAGGAGAGAGCGCGCCATCGACCGAGCCCTTCATGTCTTGGTTTGTGCCTTGAACTATACGTACACGGCGTGTTCCCTTCCTTCGCTGGATCTCATCCGGAGGCAACCAAACCTCCTTCAGCAGAAAGCGCTGAGCGAGCTGAGGATGCTTTTGAGCGCGAATGACCATGGACAGAGCATACAAGTTGCCGTTTCTGGTCGAAAGAATTTGAGGCTGCTTCAAAGGTTACAAGAACTCCGCGAGGCAGTTGATGCATTGGGTATTTCTTCGAGTCCCTATGCTACAGGCCATCAAGGGGCGCCGGTACCGGCAGACAACAGCAGCTATCCTCAACTATCGCCTTTCTCCACCCTCAATGCTGACCGCCTCAAGATCTCGGGGAGAGGGCAGTGGGACGCTGCTGACTTCATGCCACCAGAGCTCCAGATGAACTACCTTGAACCTCAGATTCTGGAGCTCGATGAGCCTGTTTTCTCTCGAGGTAAGCCCAACTTGGACAATGAGAAGGCGTATGAGGTCATGAAGCTCTTTCGGAAGTGGGATCAGCTTGGACTTTTGGCCATCCATCCAGCTTCACAAGTTCAGGCCGGTCCAGAGAACAAAGTCAAGATCTTCAACGCCTTCAAGTCAGAAGAGTGGGATCGCCAAATAGGCGACCGTCGCCTGCAGAATGCTCACAAGGGAAGAATCCCAGGTCCTTCTCGGGACCTTCCATGTGGTCCTTTGCTGACCAGGCTCTTTGTACCTCCTGGCCATGGTCTACGGGTCTGCGTTACTGACAGGTCCGACTTCTACCACCAAATGGGGGTGACCTTGGAACGATCCAGGAGCAATTTGGTCTGGCCGGCTTTTAGGCTAGAGGAGTTCCAGGGACTTGCAGCCTACCAGGACTACTTCGACAGAGCAGCACAAAAGAGAAAGCCGATCGACAGAAATGTTCATGGAGACTTTCTCAATGGAGTGCGCCCTGACCAGATGATGACTGCAGATGATACAAAAGTTTTTGGCAGTTTCAAGTCGGTCCTTCAGGGGGACCATTTGGGGGTCGAGTATGGCATCGCCTCTCATGCAGGTTTTTTGGAGAACCATGGACTTCTGAGAGCTGCAGGAAGGCTACAGACCTCGTCGATCATTCGGCCGGTCGGCCTCTATGAGGGGTTGGTTATTGATGACTATTTTAGCATTGCTCCAGTTCCGGCAGCGCAACTCAGGTCTTCATGCTACAAACCCTCGAGGGCCTATGAGGCTTTCAAGCGGGCCAAGCAGGCCTACAAGACTGCAGACCTCCAGGGCTCAGACGCCAAAGATGTGGTCGATGAGAGTCTGGCCACAGTTGTTGGCGCCGAGATCAACTCCAGCTATAATCTGGTCAAGAACGGGGTCCTGCCGGTAGGGGCCCCAGCAGCAAAGAGGATGTCTTTGAGTTGGATAGCATTGCATGCTGCAAAGTTCGCCTATACAACGGATGCCTTACATAGCTCATTGATGGGGGCTCTGGTGTCTTCTTTTTGTTTTAGGCGCTGTGGCATGGCCATCTTTCAGCACCTCTTCAAAGTCATCCCTCCACAGGAACTTGACGCAGAGAGTCCCTGCCTCAGAGCTCTACCTCGCAAGGCAGCTGATGAGATGGTTCTGGGAGCAGTAATGCTTCCCCTGATGGTTTCCAACATCAAGGCCGAGGTCTCTTGTTCGATCTTCTGCAGCGATGCATCCACATCAAAAGGAGCCGTTTGCAAAGCAAGGATTTCAAGGGATGTGGCTGAATCTCTATGGCAGTCAGGAGATTTTAAGGGTGGACACACCGTCTTGGAGAGCATCCCCAAGACCATTCTCCGATCACATGGAGACCTGGAGGAGGAGGACTGGCAGAAAGAGCATGATGATTTTGGCAATCCCTTTGAGTTTGAGCCTACAGCGTCAGCTGAGCGGCCTCTGGCTCAGCGCTATGACTTCATTGAGGTCTGCGGGGGGCAGTGGAGTTGTCTCATCAGCCATGTCGGAGCTGGGTTACATCGTTGGCCCTATTATTGACATCAGTTTCTCCCCGCACTATGACATGACAAAGTTACGTACGTTGGAGTGGCTGATGTTCCTTCTCCGTGAAGACCGGCTACGCTCATTGATGCTGGAGCCTCCATGCACAACTTTCTCTCCGGCAGCTCATCCCATGGTTAGATCGTACAGAGTGCCACGAGGATTCAATCAGAAACTTCCCAAAGTGTGGTTTGGCAACAGGATAGCTTTCTTTTGTCTCTGCCTCCTGAAGTGTGCCCTTGAGGCAGGAGCTTTCGGTCTGCTAGAGACTCCAAGAAGAAGCAAAATGGCATGGCTTGAGGAGTGGAGGAGGTTGTTGAGCGTTGATGGCATTGAGGAGACGTTCACTGCTTCCTGTTCTTTTGGGAGCCCTTTTCAGAAAGAGTTCCGCTTCCTTACAGCAAACATGCGGCCTGAAGGGATAAAGTTCCCATGCACCCGTGACCATGTCCACGTAAAGATCGAGGGCAGCCTTACCAAGGGGTCGGCGGTCTACTGCCCGCAGTTGGCCATGGCGCTCGCAAAGCTTTTTCAGCGACACCTACAGGCACAGACCATGGCCTATGCAAGAGCAGATATCCAGACGACAGGCCTCGAAAGCCCTATGACAAATGAGGTGGTCACCACGGCCCAGTGGGAGACGGTCTCCGTTTGGAAGTGGAAAGGCAGCTCCCACATCAACATCCTTGAGTTGGCCAGCCTTCTGCAGGCCTACAAGAAAGCAGCCAGAGAAGGAGGAGGCAGGTTCAGCTTCCTTCTCGATTCCTTTGTGGCTCTACGGGCATCAATGAAGGGCAGATCCTCATCGCGAGCACTAGCACCGTTGCTACGGAAGCTGATGGCACTCTCATTGGCATATGCTGTGTACGCCTCAGGGCTTTTCTGCCCGACAAGGCTCAACCCTTCAGATGATCCCACTCGAGATGTACCTCTCCGAGCGCCCACAGGCACTGCGTCCTACTTGGATTTTCTGAGTGGCACTGGACTTTATGCCCTAGCCTCCTTGCCTCGGCTTCGTCGCTGGGCTTCCAATTGGACTTGCCTTGTCTTGGGCCTTCTCTGTCAATCAGGCTCTATGCACCGTGATTTCCTCCATCCCTCCTATCGTCGCCTCTCGAGCAAGCTTCCCGTCAGCTTGCACGAAATCCTCAAAGATTTCGACTCCAGTCTGGGTTTCCCAGGAGAAGGGCCTCCCTGTAGATGTGTAGTGCCCCTCATGGTAGTTGTTTGGATTTTGCCGCAGCTTTTCATGTGCCATGGAATGAAGCCTCGCCACGGTCAAGACGAGACTCGCGCCTTGGCAAGAGTAGAGAAGCCGCTGGAGTTTGGTAGGCCGGTTTTGGAGGGCACCAAAAACAATAGGCAGCGGCTCCTACAACTTTTTTCAGACTGGCTGGCTGAAAAGGGAGAAGTTTTGGGGGCCGTCTTGGGCACCGCACCACAAGATCCGCAGAAGCTAGTGTCGCTTCTTGTTCGGTACGGAATGGATCTGTACCGCTCGGGGAGACCCTACAGTCACTACGCCGAAACGCTGAACAGTGTTGGATCCTCACAGCCGTCGGTCCGACGGCTCCTTTCTGGAGCATGGGACCTGGCCTTCAGCTGGCTCCGGGAGGAGCCCTATGAACATCACACCGCATGTCCATATCAAGTTATGTTAGCTGCCGTCACACTCTCCATCATGTGGGGATGGCCCCGCGTTGCGGGGGCTATCGCTTTGTCGTGGGGAGCTGTTTGTCGTATTGGCGAGGTGATCGCCGCCACGAGAGCAGACATGGTTTTGCCTGCCGACATGGCAGGATCTTTTTGGACAGTGATGCTTCGAGTTGGAGAGCCCAAGACACGCTTCCGAGCGGCCCGCCATCAGTTGGCACGCGTAGATTGGGAAGACTTGGTTAGTTTTTTGGTGATTACTTACAGCCACCTCAAACCAAGCGAGCGTGTTTGGCCTTGGTCCCCTCAGCTGCTACGAACAAGGTTCCGACAGCTTTTGGCAGCCATGGGTCTGCCGACTACACACGGGCCTTTGGGAAGGCCCCTGGACCTTGGCAGTCTTAGGGCAGGTGGTGCAACGCATCTTTTGTTGGTTACAGAAGACTCTGAGCTGGTATGCCGGCGCGGCCGGTGGATTTCCCACCGCACCATGGAGATCTACATTCAAGAAGCGTCCTCCACGACTTTCTTCCCCCGGCTTCCAGTTGAAGTGAAAGACCGCATCCATGGGTTAGCAGCGGCTTTTCCAGAGGCGTGCAAGAAGATGGACCAGCTCCAAAGATGCCATCTGCCGGTCCAGACGTGGTTTCATTTCTTTGCTGGAAAGTCAGACCCGAGAGACGGGAGAGACACGGGAGTTGGAGCACCTAAAAGGTCAGCAAGGCAAGAGAAGCAAGCATTCAATGCACCTGGAGAGAAAAAAGGTGCGAGCTGCTGGACATAGCAACGAACGCCGGTCCTCGACACGCTCAAGCACATCCCGCCCGCCCGGGCCCCCTTGCACCTAAAAGGTCAGCAAGGCAAGAGAAGCAAGCATTCAATGCACCTGGAGAGAAAAAAGGTGCGAGCTGCTAATTAATATTTGTTGGTTTTGGGGTTCTTGGGTTGCTGCCTATACGGTATGACTGTGTCTCGGTGCCTGTCAACCGTCCCATGTAACCCACAGCTTTGGAAGATGCAGTGCCCACATTGGTTCCTGCAAGAGGGGGCCTTTTTTGTGCGCACAGCCCAGGATTCAGGGAGAACTTTCGCAGAGATGGTCTCGGCCATTGCTCAGAACCTTGACACAAACACGGAAGTTCCAGCGGCACAATGCACATGATTGCATCATGAATTTAGCTGGTCCACATTGGAACCATCTCAAGATGGGGGCATGCAGAGGAACAGCAGAGACGTAATTACTGTAGACAAATTGAGAGAATGTTTTGCACCTGGCCATGCATCACAAGTTTCCTGCGCACTACTGATTCACCTCACACACGAACTGAAACGCACACAAACGTAACATGTTGAATGTTACTTCTATCATAGTGTGGCTTTGGGAGTTTCGCGTTGGCCCATGCCCTGTGCATGCTGTGGCATACAAAGCAAAAGTTTTCACAAAGCCCACAGGAGCATGACTACAGAGTTTCAGCATGGGCACTGAGGTAGAGCCAAACTTGTGCCCCCACATGCACCGCCCTGGCCTGATGATTCTTGTCACTCCCCGATATGAAACCCAATCGATTGGAGACTCAAAGAGGCTAGCCCTGCACATGGGTTCCCACGTTCCACCTCCCGCCCGGTCCACCCGCCTCCGCTTGGGCGCCCAGGAAGCCCCCCTGGACCAGCTTCAGTGCCCAGGCGGCGTGCGTGAGCGACCGCGCCGCTGATGCGGGGCAGGTGGGCGCGGCCATCGCGTGGCTCTGTGGCCACACGCCGCTTGGGCGGGCGTCCAGCGTCGCGGGTCGTCCGACACGGTCATTTTCGAACGCCAAGAAGGCCAGTTGGGCTGTTCAAGGTGGTTTCACAGTTCAATCCTGGTGACTCTGGGAGATTGCTAGAAGTTTGCAGGTACAATCTCCTTACGTAGTTGTTTCTTTTGCATTCTTTGTGCTGATGCCATTGGATCTCCCTGGCACCCCTTCGATTTAGCCCTTGCAGCATCCCACCAGCCACTTGCTCTCACCGCCCTCTGAGCTCCAGCCCAGAGGGCTCCACCGAGGCCTGGCTTTTCTTGTGACGTGCCGGACGATTGCAGTCCCTGGCGCTGAGACGGGACGATGAGGGACTGCGTGCCGCGCTCCCCGAAAAGTATGGCCTATTGTATCTGGGGCCCTGGGACAGTTTCTGCTGTTTCAGCTCCCCGACATGCGACCATGAGGGGCAGTTGAGTTCACCGGAATGACCAGCACAAATGACAAGCTAAAGAGACCCAATGGATGCTCTGCGAGTTCCGGCCTCATATCATCCGGAAACCTTTGATCTGAGACGTTTGTCTGGCCTTTTCCTCATGGACCGATGGAATTTTTGGGAAAATTTCCCTCAACCAGTAGGACCCTCAGGACCTTTCCAGCCAAGTCAAACCTTGATTCACCGCTCCCCAACACAGCACCAAGCGTGAGGCCAGGATGCCTTCAGCACCGGGGATTGGCTCTTCAGCCGTTGGTACCTACGGAACGGCCACGATCCTTTGCACCCCGGCTACGCTTGTAAAGGCTTGCAGTATTTTCCCCCAAGTCCCCGACAAAGTGTCGGTGAGTTTGTTGAATCTTGCCGCACGTGATCCACACCAGATCAGGCAAGACTGCAGCTTCGGAGGTGCGGCCATTTTTGCCAGCCCCGACACCCCTGCGGGGCGCGCAGCGGCAGCTTGCGCCGTGGTCGTTCCACGGCGGTTGGAGGCTTGTGCACGGTGGTTGGAGCTCTGTATGTTCGGTCGAGGGTAATTGTTTAGCCTTCCAAAGGGTTGACATGAACTGCCACAGTGTAATTATACGATGCATCTACGGAGTTGTGCTTTCGGCTGTCTCAATGCAGCTGTTGGTGATCCATTGAACGATCAGCCTGGCTTGTTTGAGGTGATGGTTTGATGCTTCTGACCTCAATGGCAATTTTTTGGATTCGCGTGCATGCCATGTAAAGATTTCCAGTACAGGACCCAGGGCAACCTGCCTTGGCAACCTTGCACAGCTCAGTCAAGTAATATCTTGACTCTTGACTTTAGGTCTGGGAGCTACTACTTGGGCATCCCCCAAAAGGGGGGAGGTACAATGCTAGCTGCTGGAAGAGCATAATTCGGATTTCTTTTGCCGGTCACTCAGTTGTCTCCTTCAGGGGAGAGTGTTTTTGCGCTGAGCGGACGGGAGGGGATACAAAAGTGCATCGTTGGGGTCATGACACGGGTTCAAACGGTGCTTAAATAGTGACTAAACATACGCCATAAATATCTACTGGTTGAGGCTCCTCCATTCCGAGACGAATAGGCACATTGCCAAAAGGACTAAGGACGCCTGCAAACATGGCAGTTGCTTCACTTCTTCACCTGACCCAGGATGTGAGGTGGTTCACTAGTCGTGAACAAATGTCGCGGGAGGCCCAGAAACATAGCAGGAAGACATGGAAGGACAGGGTGGGTGCTCCACCACCTCTACCACCTCTACCGACCATCATCATCTCATTTGAGAGGTGCCGGGGGAGTGCATGGAGGTGGCCCAGCACCCCGCTTTTGCCACATTTTCCCCATCGTGTCCTAGCAGCTAGCAGTGGCCGTTCGCGGTCCCTCAGAGTCCGTCATGTTGAGATCTCGCAGTCGCGGGGCCTGTCAACCGGGTGAGAAACCCCTCGCTTGGTCGACAGTGGTGCTAAGCCGCTAGAGCGATCGGGAGTTAACAGGCGCTATGGGAGGCCGCTGAGGTGGCGCTTGGTCTTTGGAGGCAGCTTGATGAGGTGTTTCATGATGTTTCAGGGAAGAACTCAACCGGCCTTCCAAGTGCAGGACATGGTCACTTGCCAAAGCCTATCACTCAAATTATATGGTTGAAGCGCGTGAACTGGAACTGGTCGGGCATGCCGGAGTTGATTCACCTTCGGCCAGCTGACGCAGTGGTTTCTGGTTCTTAGCCTTTAGCAGACGCATGTGGCGCGACGATCGGCAGGTTAAAGGTGATGACACAGCATGGAGCTTCTATCGCACAGCATGGAGCTTCATTCACCACTGGCCAGCATGTGTGAGCCAGTCGAATGATTTGATGATGTCTTTCAGACTCATTTCTTCTGTCGCACACTGATCCCCTGCCAATGGGACTACTTCCCCACTTCCACACCAGAGGAGGTCTGGGACCCCTGCTGTAGGATTTCACACCACACAAAACCGGAAACGACATCCGAGCTCTCCAAGCTCACCTTGAATGTGGAGCCAAAACACATTTGGAGCCATGGTGCCCGGGGGGCAGACGTGGCTGCCGACATGCAAGAGCTTCCTGGTTGGAGGGGGGAACCTTTCTCGTCCTAGGACACAGCCCCAAAGAAGCTGGGAACCATGTACAGTAGCCATTAATCCATAAATTGTTTCTTTGCTTCTAGTGACTAGCGACTAGTGGATGTCAGGCCGCTTGCTCGGTCTGAGCTGGTTTGTCAGGGATGCCATGTATTGAGGTTATATGCCATTATGCGATGTCATTGCAAGCTTGTCAGGGTCTACCTTGATCATAGATGAACTTAACATCACTTTTCAAGGCTTCTGATCTTTCTCACTTCGATCAACACCGGATCCCACCGGCGAATCCCCGACCTCAGGCGCCCCAAAGAGGCCCTCCGAAGCCTCGGTGCAGCTGGGCGCGCGGGCCAAGTCCGCCGCTTCCCCGCGCTTCGCAGGCGCCGCGGCGACCGAGGCGGCGCCCGCGGTGGAGGCGCCTGCGGCTGCAGGCATCGAAGCAGATGCCACTGAGAGCGTTTTGATGCATCTGAAGCTGTGCGGTCATCACCAGGTGACGGAGGCTTTGGGCTGACCAGGCCATGTTTTGTTGCCTGCAAGGCTCGGAGGTGGAGGACTTGCGTGTGAAGGCCAAAAGTAAAGCAAGAGGAAGCGCCCCTTGGCTCTGAGAAAGAAGATCATGACCTCATGGCCCCCCACTGTGTGTGGTGATTGGATGTCAGAGATGAGTGGGGCCAAAGTTTGTTTGCATCCAAGCAGGCGAAATTGCACGGAGGGAAAACATGGTGGCGCGCGGAGGTTAACGCTTCCAGAGAGAAGCATTGCTGACATACTGTAGCTGGGCTTTTGGCATGGCCCTAACATGCTTATTGATGCTTATTGGAGTTACCCACCTCTGTACCAAGTTGCCCCCAACCGATAGTTGCAGTTCACTTTGTCGTATGCCCTCCTTCCCATGGGGGTGGTTTAGTAACAAGATGTAACAAGCCGCATCCCTTTTCATCGATCACTTAGCACTCGCATAAGGGGTCCTGCGGGGTCCTGGTATTTTGCTGATGTTTCACTGACTTCGTCAAGGTTGCAACCTCCTTGGGCGCCAAGGATCCTCCAGGCCGCTGTCCGGGGGGCCGGATCGATGTGGAGTCCTCTTACCTTTTGAAACAACGCCAAGGACTGAATAGGTTTGGGTGAGTGAATGTCCTCACTTTGGAGGATCACCTCAAATTCTGCACCATTTTTTTCCCAAACAGTTTACTGTTGGGGCTGAGCTCTGTGGCTGGGCTCTGTGGCTGGGCCTTGTCCTCCTCTTGTCCTCCTCTTGGCCGCGCCCCTGAACTCTGTCAACTCTGTGGCTGGGCTCTGTGGCTGGGGTCCTCCTCTTGTCCTCCTCTTGGCCGCGCCCCTGAACTCTGTCAACTCTGTGGCTGGGCTCTGTGGCTGGGCCTTGTCCTTCTCTTGTCTTCCTCTTGGCCGCGCCCCTGAACTCTGTCAACTCTGGGGCTGGGCTCTGTGGCTGGGGTCCTCCTCTTGGCCGCGCCCCTGAACTCTGTCAACTCTGTGGCTGGGCTCTGTGGCTGGGCCTTGTCCAACTCTTGTCTTCCTCTTGGCCGCGCCCCTGAACTCTGTCAATTTTGTGGCTGGGCTCTGTGGCTGGGCCTTGTCCTCCTTTTGTCTTCCTCTTGGCCGCGCCCCTGAACTCTGTCAACTCTGTGGCTGGGCTCTGTGGCTGGGCCTTGTCCTCCTCTTACCCGTGCCCCTTAACTCTGTCAACTCTGTGGCTGGGCTGTGTGGCTGGGCTCTGTGTCCAGGCCTTGTTCTCCTCTTGTCCTCCTCTTGGCCGCGCCCCTGAACCCTGTCAACCCTGTGGCTGGGCTGTGTGGCTGGGCTCTGTGCTGCACCTCTGTGGCGCACGCTCTGACATACGCTCCAGAAAGGCGCGCTCAGAGCGCGCTCTACAGAGAGAAAGACAGAGAAAGATATAGAAAGAAAAACTTAAAGAGAAAGAGAGAGAGAGAGAGAGAGAGAGAGAGAGAAAAGGAAGGAAAGAGAGAGAGAAAGAAAGAAAGAAAGAAAGAAAGAAAGAAAGAAAGAAAGAAAGA